CCTGCAATCTTAAAACTCGGTAGGCATATTGTTCAGATCAAGCCGGACAACTTTCTTATTTACAGTTTTTGGTTCCGAACAACAGGAAGTCAGATATTTTGGTTTGAATGGGATGTTTTGGAGTAATCTCTGTCCCTCTCTCCCTCTCTCTGCATACCTCTGTGTCTGTGGGGGGAGGGGGATGTGTCTGTTTGAGTGACAAAGCTTTTAATTATTGTTGATCAAGGTTTCGGGGGCTTTTGGGGCCCTTAACATCCTCTAAAACTCTTGAAACTTTGCACACGGGTCAGAACCCGTGGCCATCAGGGCCGGACTGAAGCTGGTACCCGGGCGTGGCAGGGCGGACCGACAGCGCCCCCTGGACTGGGATTCGAACACTTGTCCATAAATCAAAGACACTTGCATGTAATAATATGAAACTGTGTACACTTATAGATCTCATTGGGTTAAACAACTTTCGTGCTCTAAGTTTTACGACATCCCAACAGGAAGCCGGCTATCATGGTTTGTTTGGAAACGCATACCCCTGAAATTCTATTTAATTCTCCTTGGGAATTGATCGGATTTCAAGCAAACTCGGTCAGCATGACGTCAAGACATTGATGATGCTAAATTCCGGAGGGATTTTTGATATCTCGAACGGTTTGGCCGTGGCGAGGAAATTAATTTTATGACTAAAAAAGGACACATAAAGTGTGTTATAACTTTGCTCGTTTTACCTACAGTTACAAAACTTGCCACGCATATTGTTCTCATCAAGCCAATCGACTTTCTAATTTAAAGTCATTAGCTCAGAGCAACAGAAAGTCAGATATTGTAGTTTGAATGGATTTCTTGTCCCCCTGCCATTCTGTTTGTGTGTGTGTCTGTGTGGGGAGGGGAGCAGAGGGGAGGGGAGGGAGGGAGGGTTGGTGTCTGTGTTTATGTGTGTGTGTGTGTGTGTGTGGCTGGCTGTATGATTTTTCCTGCATTAAAGGATAAAGAAATCTCTAAGTCCTTGTCTTTTCGCATAACAATTTTTGTATTTTTTTTTAAATGACAAAATATGCATCACTCCTCTTAAGTGGTTTATTTTATTCCCACCAAACTTTTTCAACATGATGAAAATACATTAAAGAAGCATAATTGTGAATATCTATTGAATATCTCTAATTGTTTTGCTATGGCGAGGGATTAAAGTCATGTAAAAAAAAAAAAAAAACACTAAAAGCTTCATATCTTCTAAAAATGTAATTATACACCATTTATTTCTAGATAAAATTATACAAATATCAGAACTAAACCCATTTTATTCTTTTTTTCAATTTAAGAATAATGTACAAGTTTAAAAACAGCCAGGATGCACTATTCAGTTAAAAAATAAATATATCAAATAATACATAGGGCTATACTGCCCTCTTGTGTTCAAAATCAGGTAGGCCTGTTGTATTTAAATATAGGTAGCTGCTATGTGACTCCGAGAATTTTTTCTCACCGGTTATTTGACGTGTAACACCGGGGGCTTTTATATCGCTAAGTTAAAAGTGAAAGTAAAGTAAGGACATTTATAGTGGTGGCGCTCGCAGTGCGCTCGAATGAATTTCTATGGAAGTAGAAATTAACTAAACGTTCGCTCTGTTCTGCTCGCTCGTCGCCATGGACGCGCACCGTTATGAATGCCAGTGCAGCCGCATACTTTTTAGTGTCACTAAAATTAGTGCAATTTCGGGGGCCGATTGCTTGAATTGTGAGTTCAATAGTCTATTATTTTTCACGGAAAACACAACAATAAAAGAGTACAATGACAGATTCGCTTAAATAGGCGTTTTTACATAAAATAGCCTATTCCGTCATCATCTTTTCAGTCAGCTCTTCACTCTCGTGATTAATGAAATTTGACTCCTGTTGCTGATATTTGCTGCAACTTTCGTTCAGCTCACAATTTAGTAAGCAAACACGTTTCAAATGTGTTTTTATTTTATTTTTGTGTATGTGTGTGTGTATGTATGTATATATATAAATATAGCTTATGTTTCAAATATGAGTTAATTAACAATCGTTGGAAAGAATGATACTTTTAAACATAACACTAAACCGTCATTAGGTGTCGCCAGGCGACCGTCTTAATGAGCGAGTCATTGATTCATTCGTTTGAACGACTGAGTCATTCATGAATGAGATAGATGTTTATGGATTGATTGGTCATTGAATCTTTGAGTCAACCGATTTGTTCAAAATGCTGAATCATTCATTAATGAGAACGCGTTGCTGTGAGATGCGCGATGGTTCTGCTGTGATCTTTGTTTAACTATTTTCGCTGCTGAAACAGAAAAAAAGTCAATATTGCATCTAAAATGTAAGTGATTTGACTTGTGTGTGTGTGTGTGTGATTGTGTGTGTGATTGTGTCTGTTACAGTGATAAGAGTTTAACCCTTGTTAAACTTTAGGCCTTGTCTTTTTGGATATATATCTTTTTATATTAAAAAATAGTCATACAACCCATATATTTTAAATGTATTGTTTGCTTTAAATTACATTAAGATTGTATGTTTGGTAATCGAACCTGAAAGAATTATAAATGAATGTGCTATATTTCAGATCATATATTTGTTTTCCTTAAAATTTGAACTAACACCAATTTTATTCTCATCTGAATGATAGATTATTTTTTTCTGTATAAAATAAAAACACCTTTGATTTTTCTTTTTTAATCAATGTAGAATGTGTAACTGAAAAAATAAACAGATTAGGGCTCTGTTTGATGACAAGAAATGAAAACCAATGCGATATGATGAATGTCCAAAAGATGGCTCCCACAGACTGTTTTTAAATAGGATTGTTTGATATTTTTTGCTTTTAAACTGTGTGTGTGTGTGTGTGTGTGTGTGTGTAAGAGATTTTGGTTGGGTGACAGTTGTAGTTTACAGTTTGACAAGAGTTTATAGTTTGACAAAAGCACAATGTTGTGTTTTATTGCGAGTGTACACAAATATAAGTAAACACTTTGCAGTTTGAATAATGTCCTGTATGAACAAAAGGACGGAGTATGTCTTTATGTCTACATTGTTCAATTACGCCACACACACACACACACAAACACTATTTTTCTAATCAGATCAGGCAAGTAATATTCTGTCTTGTCTCTTAAAAAAACAATATATATATATTTATGTATATATATATATATATATATGTGTGTGTGTGTGTGTGTGTATATATATATATAAATATAGCTGCGAGCAGCGATGAAAGGGCCAAAGCCGGCGGCACCGCCACCCCGGTTATAGCGCCACCAACTGGAGCAGGAAGTCTGTCACTTTCAAAAAGCTTTGAAATCACCTGATTGCTTCAAACTTCACTACTATGATGTAAACACACGGCAGATGTAGACCTGGATGTAGACCTGACCTTTCAGAAGGTTGCTCTCGCATACTTTGTGGTTGACATGTGCCCTCAATGCACACTTTTGCAGAGCACACACTGATACAAGCTCTACAGCACACTTCTTTTCGACAGTCAAACCAGGGTTACGTTTTTGCACGTCGTGCACAATAACCCTAAAGGCACCAGGGTGGCGGTGCCACCGGCTTTATATATATATATATATATATATATATATATATATAAATAAATATAGCTGCGAGCAGCGATGAAGGGCCAAAGCCGGTGGTACCGCCACCCCGGTGCCTTTAGGTAACTAAAGGCACCGGGGTTGCGGTGCCACCGGCTTGGGCCCGTAATCGCTGCTCGCAGCTATATTTATTATTATTATTATTATTAAAAATGCTGCGCTCAAGTTAAACTCAGTTCAACTTTTAAAAAACGCACTTCGAGACCTTGCGGTTTTCCCCCATTCCATGCCCGCGTTCTGTGTGAACGAACAAGCCCAAACAATGAAACTCAAAACGTGACACATACAATGTATTTGTATTCTGATTGAATTTATTGAATCTGACAAGAGGACACAGATATGACAATAAATATAAAATACTGTTAATCTATTGCTCAGTATTATTTCAGGAATTTGATCTTCTCAATTGAGAGAGCACATGCTGTATTGTATTGTATTATAATGATGATTTAATATTACCTCTAAACTTTAACTAGGCTAGATATTGTCAAGTTTGTTTTTGTTTTTGTTTCAGTCCATGTCTCAAGTCAAGTCTTTGTTTATTTTGTATTTTGTTTATTTGAATAAACTGCACTTTATTCTTCAACTGTACTTGCCTTCAGTGGACTTTATTACAGGTATTTTGCATATTAATTGTTCTAGGAACCTCAAAGCATATTTTAATTTTTGTGTATTTTGTGCTACTCCATAATGATGTTCTAGTTTGTTGCATAGGTAGGGTCCAAACATAAACTTAAGCCCAGGGGCTGCCCTGATGACATTGTTCCAAGTGGGTGAATTCTCTTTGGGATGATTACAGCATCATAGAAACACCTTTGAACAACATATTTAAAGGTGAATGCAAATATTGTTTTCTTTAGAGAAGTACATGTTATACGTTTTGACTAGTTAATGCTTATATTACATAACAGAGTTGCCTTCTATTCTGTTTCATGCAATGAATGTAGCAATAAATCAAGTGGACAGTTGGTAAGTATATTGGGTTACACTTTATTTGAAGGTTTTTTTGTTACACTGTAATTATACATGTAAATATTGAGTACAATTAAGTAACTACGTGTATTTACTATAAGGTTAGGATTAGGGTTTGGTTTATTTCAGGGTTAGTTGCATGTAATTATGGATAATTTATAGTTATTACTATAGTAACTACATGCAACATACAGTATGTAACAATGACACTATAAAATAATGTGTTACCGAATAGTTTTATTTGTCAGCTACCAGACTTTACACTTTGTGATATATTTGTGGGGGGGGGGGGGGTGTTTTGTTTTTTTTTGTTTACTATGTTGCATTTATTTATTTGTTTTATAAGTACTTCAAGTTGAAATACTATTAATGAAATGCTAGGTCTGGTTGTTTCTTTCTCCTTAGATTTTGTGAAGAGCTGCAAATGGACAACCTGACATTCAGACACAGCGTTCTCCTCATGGAGAGACTAAAAGTTACACCTCAGTCCTCCTATCCAGTTTTTATCCTGCTCTTCTTGGCTTATGTCTTTACAATGGTATCTAACTTTGGACTTATAGTTTTGATCTCAACGGAAAAGAATCTTCATAATCCTATGCATTTTCTTTTTTGTAACTTGCCACTGAACGATATGCTAGGGACCACTGTCATTTTGCCACGCTTAATGCAAGACATTTTACAAGAAACCTCAGAGCACTATATCAGTATCACATATATGCAGTGTGTTACTCAAGCATATTTTGTGCACATATTTATAGCAGCATGCCACTATGTGCTGATAATCATGGCCTTTGACAGATATGTGGCTATATGTAATCCACTTAGATATTCTGCTATAATGACCAATAAGATGGTAATTAAACTATCAGCATTTGCTTGGGGCCTGGCCATTCTTTTGGTGACAATTATGTTAGGTCTCACTGTGCGTCTGTCTCACTGCAGATCTAAAATTGAAAACCCTTTCTGTGACAATGCCTCACTGTTTAAACTATCCTGTGAAAGTGTGGTCATAAATAATATTTACGGAATTGTTTATACTGTGGCTGTACTCTGCTTTTCAGCAGTATCTATATTTATAACATATGTCAAGATTGCTGTTGTATGCAAAAGTAGCAAAAACAAAGCGCTCAACAGCAAAGCCATAAAAACCTGCAGCACTCATTTAGCTGTTTATTTAGTCATGTTTTTTTCTGGAGCTATCATGACATTTCTCCACCGGTTTCCTGAATACTCTGACAGCAGGAAACTAACTAGTATAATGTTCCACATTTTACCGCCAGGATTAAAAATCCCTTAGTATATGGTTTACAAACCAAAGAAATAAGGCAAAAAGTAGCTAAACTTTGGTGGAGAAAAAAAGTTATTTCTTTGTAAAATATATATATATATTTTCTTCACAATTTGTTGTTTCTTTTTCTCATAAAGAAAATACAGTATATGGTCAATAACATTGGTTTAGACATTTCTCCAACAGACTATTCTGCGACTATTCTGAAATTATTGTCATACAATTTTCATACAATGAATGATGTAAACCATTTTCATTTCAAATGATTTTAACTTTCAAGTACAGAAATTATTAGCAGACATTACATTTATTTGCAGACATTACATTCATGTAATCAAATCAATTATCTGCTTTTATATATATATATATATATATATATATATATATATATATATATATATATATATATATATATATACTGTATATACTCAAAAAACAATTATGTCTAAATTTAAGATTTATGTATTTGAATTGCATATAAAATTTCTATCCATTTGGATTTCATAGTTTTAACAAAGTTTTAAACAAACTAATAATCTGAATGTGATTCATATTTGTCAGTCATACATAAATGAAATAGGTATGATTTATGTAACTGTTTTAATAAACTGAATGTGACTCATATTTGTCAGTGATACGTGAATGAAACAGGTAAGATCTATGTAAGAGTACACACACAGTAAAATCTCCAGTGTTGAAATCCTGGTGTTAAGGACATTTAGAGTGTTAATTTTCTGGTGTTGAATTTCAAGGGATTAACACTGCTAGTGTAAATCGCACCCTCTGGCAGGTGAAAATATGTAGAGTTAAATCAATAACACCGAGCAGAGTGTTATTAGTCACATCCGGGACATTTACGAGCTGGGCGGGACAAAACGAGCTGAAACTTTTTTCACAGGCGCCATTTTCTTTGACTCGCGAAGCAAGGCATACGAGGAGGCATATATTGAGTGTTTTATCGCATTTACATATACATTTTATAATATCATATTGTTTTAGAACAATGTGTATGTGCTGTGCACGGTTAAACCATTCACAGAGGGACATTTTCGATGACGCGCGATGTGGAGCAGACCAGGATGGGTTTGATTTTTAACAGGGAAAGTAAGTTAACTTAAGTGCTTTATCTAATTTACAATATGTTTAATTTACATTTTATAATATATTGATTTGTAGCGATATTTAAATGCTCTGCGCGCTTAAACGAGCCGAAACTTTTTCAAAGGCGATCTTCTTTGACTCAATACGGAGCTGACGACGACGAGGAGGGAACGTTGGCGTTAACAGAGAAAACACCGAAGTTAAGTTAAGTGCTTTTAACCAAATTTACAACAAGTAACTTATTTCATGCCATTATATTGTTTTGTAACGATATTTATGTGATGTGCGCGCCTAAACCTCTCACAGACAGACTAGGCCCTGCATCTTCTTTGACTCGAGTCGTGACGCAGTGCAGACACGGAGTTTGCTTTTAACAGTGAAAACACAGAGTAAGTGTTTTAACTCATTTAAAATGCGTGTTTTATAATGTTATGTTGTTTTATGACAATATTTGTGATCTGCAAATATCTTAAAGTATGTATTTATCCTCAAACTATTTTTCTCTCGTTTGCCAGCACACCTAGCGTAACGTTATAACTGAAGACGAACAACTCCACAAACTGCAACCAACAAGTCAAGTCAAGTCAAGTCACCTTTATTTATATAGCGCTTTTTACAATACAGATTGTATCAAAGCGCTTCACAGTGATAACATGAAAACAATATAACAAAGTTTGTTTCTAAAAGAAATTGCGTCAACGTCCACCTTAAGTAAGGCAGATCAATAATATTATTGAATATTAAATGTCCCCAACTAAGCAAGCCAAAAGCCAAGGCAACAGTGGCAAGGAACCAAAACTCCATCAGGTGACAGAATGGAGAAAAAAACCTTGGGAGAAACCAGACTCAGTCGGGGGGCCAGTTCTCCTCTGGCCAACGAAGGAACAGTGCATGATTCGGGCAGCATTACAAGTCAGATTGGATCGGAACATTTAGAGTATTTTTTTGGAAGTCCAAGTAATCACGCCGGTCTTAAGACGAGTAGTTGAGGATCAGTGCCGTCCACCATAGAGAGTCCATATCGCCCGTGTTGAGTCGTCACTTCATAGGCTTTGTGATTGGAGCATCTGAAGTCTCCGTGAGAGGCTGGATACAAACTGGAGCTGACGAACGCTATTTTCTCGGGACTCGCGTCCCGAGATAACAGCAGGAAAGCAAAGGGAAAATAATTAGCGTAGCTGCTGTTCATAATGATGATTTCCATTGCACAGTCGTAAATGATAAAAACATGTAGACAGTGACTCTTGCGTCCCAAAATCACCCCCCTCCGTCCCCCACTCAACTCAGCCCAGCTTACTGACCTCTACGTCCCTCCTGCTGCTGAGACCTAACCACAATCTCACAATCTCTCCGCAACCCAACCATACGCGCCAACCCGTTGACTAAGGCTGTCGAGCCCCACTGGTGTGTGAATAGGCAGTTTCAGTGGACAACGGTTCCGTATGGCATACTACCTACCGCAACACAATATCTGCCCAACCACCCGTCATTCACGCAATATACACAGGAACGTAATGACTGCAAATACTATGCAACCTATACAGATAACCTACAGTCTCTTCAAGTTTTATAATATTAAATGCATTTGATCTGATTCAGCACTATTATAAAAGGTAAGCATTATGTAAATGCTTGGCTAAAGAGATGCGTCTTTAATCTAGTTTTAAACTGGGACAGCGAGTCAGAGCCTCGATGCATGTGAAATTGTCACTTTATTTCCTTATTTGGAGGACCAATTTTCTTAGAATGGGTAAGTAATTATTTCAGATTAAATATTTATGCAAAGTGCTTTTATCAGATTAACTTTTGGTTGATGTTTGATATGCTTTCATGATTAAATTTTGCTATTTGTGTTTGCTAATACTAGGAGCATTTCTATGCTGCACCAAGTGGCTAAGGCTAACCAGGCTTGGTTTTTGAAGACTATACAGACTTGAACCTGGTGATGATGGTAAGATTTAACAGATAACATATGAGGCACAAACATAAAAAATAATCATAGCTTTGTTGCTATTTGGGATAACTAGATATTATTTGTTTCATAACACTCATTTTGAATTTGTCCAGTCAAATTACTTTACAAAAGTAAATCTTTTTTCTTTTTTACTTAAAATGAGATTTCAAACCAATTCTTTTCATGATTTGACTGGTAGAGGTTTTCTTGCTGTTTAATTTTAGACTCAACTGATGGGAAATCTCTGCCCAGCTGCCCCGAACATCACAAAGCCACACGAAGGGAACAAGGACTATTTAGTGAGATTTCTTAAGGTGCGTGACTTAATTTATTCTTAAATGGTTAATTCACCCACAAATGGAAATTCTGTCGTTAATTACTCGCCCTCATGTCGTTCCAAACATGTCAGACTTTTTCATCTTCACAACACAAATGAAGATATTTTTAATGAAATCTGAGAGCTTCCTGTCCCTCCACGTTCAAGCCCCAGAAAGGTATAAATGTACATCATTAAAGTACACCATGTGACTCCAGTGGTTTAACATAAATTTTATTAAACTACGCAAGTGCTGCAAAAAAAAAAACATTTATCACTTAATTTATAAAATATTAATTTCCAACATGCATTCATGAGAACATTTCAACTCGTGCATATTGTTGATGCGAGAGCAGATGTTGCGTTAACGTGCATTGTAGATTGATATTTTGTAAATAAAGATGAGTTAAAATTGTCGTAAAAAAAAGTTGTAAAATTGAGGTTAAACCACTGGAGTCACATGGATTACTTATGATTTCCTTTATACCTTTAATGGCTTTGGAAGTGATAGTTGAATAGGCTGTCGACGAAGGGACAAAGATTTAGATTTCATAAAAAATATCTTAAGTGTTCCGAAGATGAGCAAAACTCTTAACTGGTTTGGAACAACATAAGGGTGAATAATTAATGACAGAATTAAAATTTTTGGATGAATTAAGTCTTTAATTTACTTGGAAATCAGTAAATTCAAGTCTTAAAGGAAGAGTTCACTTTTAAAATGAAAATTCTGTCATTATTTACTCACCCTCAAGTTGTTTCAACCCTGTATGCATTTCTTTCCTCTGCTGAACACAATGGAATATATTTTGAAGAATGTCAGTAACCAAACAGTTAACTGATCCCATTGACTTCCATAGTAAGAAATAAAATATACTATGGAAGTCAATGGGACCAGATAACTGTTTGGTTACTGACATTCTTCAAAATATATTCCATTGTGTTCAGCAGAAGAAAGAAATTCCAAAATAGTTTCTTGTTTGAGTCACGAAAGTCTAAGATGATTGATATTTTTCCACCATACACTTGCTGTATTTATAAAATACAAATGGTATTAATTGTAATTGGTCTGGTTTTGTGTTGTCTAGGGAACCAGCACTCCAGGATTTTGAGAAAGTTGGATCTGCACAGCCTTTCCTGCTCTGTGAAACAACTATGCACTGAACTTTACTGTTAGCAACTGGACACAACTGATCCACTCATAACCTGCAACTGTTTTTCATCTGCTGAATGTTGTTGCTGTACTGTTGCTAAGTCGAAGGTACTGAATCAACTTCACTGACACAGGACTAACATTCACTGACATGTACAGGACTTGAAGTATTACAGACCATTTGATAAGCAGCTTTCATATAATTCTAATAACAGAAATGCCTATATTGTGCCTTCATTTATTTTAAAAGTTAACCTATGATGTAAAGGGGCTTGTTCGTTAATAAACTAGTTTGTTAAAACAACTGTTTGCATTTTGCCTTTATTTTTAACTTTACAATGAATACAGAATTCTACTATAATCCCAGACTAAGGTTACAATTTAACTTTCTGGATTGTTTTGAAATAAAGTTTTGAAAGAGTAATATAGAGTGATGTGTTTATTTCAAAGTGAATTTATTCTTTTCAGATTAAATGATTTGTCATCTTATTTTACATTTCTTTAGAGTAGGTAATGCAGAACCCTAATAAGAAAA